ACGATAAATCACAGAAGATAATTGGATTATGTTTAGATTATTATTTGAAAGATGCGCGAATATTATTACGATTGTAATAATATATTATGAAATATTGAGATATTTGCACGATGAAAATAATATCGTATTTATATATCATAATCCTGTGTGAAAAATTTTGCGTTTTTTATCAGATTCATATTGTATCCTAACAATTTAAGATTTAACAAACTCAGAACTATAGGGAGCGTTCTGTTCATAATATTCGTTCTTCTTTGCGACTGCTCGAGAGAAGCCTAGAGTTTCGAACGTAGTCGCGCGTTTGATGACGCTTGAATGCAAGTTTAATGTAGAATTCGCTAAGAGAGCGAGCGCGCCGGTCATTCGCGGTGGTTGCAAGCCATTGAAAATCAGTCACCTCATTCAGTCGGGAACATCGTGACGAAACTCGAGGAAAATCAATAGAGCCGGCCGGCTCCGACGAAATACAACGCCGAATGTGCGATGCAGACCACTGCGATATTGCGCGCGAAGATACAAATAGGTGCAATATATAAATAAAAATGATTTTTCATGCGTATTATTGATGCCGATAATTCGGAAAGATCGCATGATTTTTTAATAAATCTAAGCACCACGAAACAGGATGGTCATGGAGATTTGTTTCTCCCGTACACCTATCTGTATAAAAGTTCAAATATATGACTTTGTGGTCGACTATTCCACACCGTGACAAGCCAGGTCAAATCGAATATCGAATATCTCTAACGATGACTCTCTAATATAAGAACTAAAGAACTAAAACGTAACGTCAAAATTAGACATCCAATAAAGTTAAAAAGTATTTATAGTACTGGAAGGAAAGAATGAGAAATAAATGGGGAACATTTTGTACGTGTAATAAATCTAAGTTTATCGCAAAACATTTCTGTAACATAAATTGGGAATCCTATATTATCGCGAGTTATGCAGAAACTATTCTTGTCACGTTTCTTGTTAAAGAACAACATCACACAAAGATATTGTCGTTATTGGCATTGCAAATTGCTCTACCTTTAACAAGCGAAAATAATTATTGATAGAGAGTTCTTCATATAAAGTAGAAAAATTAAATAATCAAGAGTTTAATTCCTATCGCTTAATCCTTTTTGTCTGTCACGATTTGATCCGCGTACGCGACCGCATTTAAGCCGATTTCCGAATAAATCCCTTTAATTAAAAGTCTCATTAGTAATTGAAAATGTTAATTGAAGGTCTTATTACCGCAGTATAAGTATAGGATAACGCTAAATCGATTGGCAGGCAAATAAATTTTTATATCATTTCCGAATTATTTACTAAGCTTAGTAGACAAGCCTCTACTTTTTATTTCCCTCATTTTGGAATATCTTTTATATTATTATGTCTAATAAATATTCTAATTAATAAATTATGCTTGACAATAATTTATTTGTTGAAAAATAGACATTTATATAAATATATGTAATTGTGAAACGATCAAAAATTATTTACCTATCAATTGATTTAATAAGACAATATTTAAAAAATTAAACATTATTTTAAAATTTAACAGAAAATAATTAATTTTCCGCATCATGAAAGATTATTGACATAGATGATCATTTTCATTAGGATTTGCGCAGTGATCTGTCGTACCAAGAATTGTTTTAAAGACACCAAATGTAACAAATTTTCAAGTTTGCATTTGCCAAGAAGTCGCGAAGAGTAGTCTGAGGTTGTAATTTATAGCGCGAAATGCGATCGCTTTATTTTGGCTTGATTAAATTTACCGCTTCCCCAACTCGTCTTTAGACAGTTATGTTTACGCATGAAGGAACTTACAAAACATAACTAAATTAACTAATTAACAAGTAAATTATGCACACGACATGTACTTTTTGCGAGTTGGATTGACTTGTAATTTTTCATATCAAAATAGAAAAACGCGTGGAATTTCAAATTGAAAGCAAAGTTATGAACCGTTATGAAAGGCAGAGATATGTAATTAATTTTGTATTAATCTTTGCCAGTATAAAAATATATAAATAATGAGATCCGTGAAATAACAAGCTGTACATATTTTACCCTAAAGCAAGCAGCTAAAATCATTTTTTATTGTGAAAAAATTACGGATGTGATATTCTGTTGGAAAAGATTGAGATATTTTATTATTATCATTGTTTCCTTTCACATTTCAATCAGAATATTGATGTTATTTGGAAAAGTATATCTGAATTAAAATATATTATATAAAAAATGGTGCAAAGTAAAGAAAATAAAATTTTTCCAACTATTAAAAAGAAAATATACTCATTTCATATTAACAAATACATCATGTACTCCGCACACGCGCAAAAAATGCGATATATTTTGCGAATTTATTTATTTAATTATTATAGTCATGTTGCCGCTATGTTTCATAATACAGGCAGTAATATAAATCATCAACAATTGCCAGCATCAGTCCATGACGAATTATTACTGGTACGCGGTTATAAAAAACAAGCCCTTTCTTTGTGATATTTTTGCGTGTTATGTATTTTTTTTTATAAAAAACCCAGAATAATTTTCTGAAAAATATTCGTAGAAGGGAAATTGTACAATAGTAAAAAAGCATGTTTAAAATTGAATTTGAGAAGATTGAGAGAATTGAATTTTCTAAATTAATTATTTATTGTTAATTTATATAATTTTTAATATTATTTTATTATAAATTTACATTGAATAATATTAATTTAATATTTATTTTTAAAGATTTTGAACAATATAAATTGTAAATGTATGAATTTTAAATTTAAGAGAAAAGTACTATAGAAATTTTCAGAAATATACAAATCTTTGATAAAAAACAATAATTTTGAAATCTCTTTAAGTGTTATTTCAATATGCATATAATAAATTTGGATCATATAATCAAGATATCGATAATCCAATATCTGTTGTTTCTTTAATATGAATTCATTCGTATCGAGATGAAATAACAATTGTGTTTTCAAACAATACTTCAGATAAACAATAATAAACTCGTTTTTATTCATATACTGCGCTGTTATTGCTTATTAGTATATCATATAAAACCAGTTCTTCTATTATCGTGTAACAATAAATACGTATATAAATAAATAAATAAATAAGTAAGTAAATAAATAAAAATATACATACGCGCGTTTGACCGAATTTTTGACTTTATTAAATATTAATATATTTCATCCAATACATCAAGAAATCAAAAGGGTTTGCAATTAAACATTATTGTTTACACAGTTATAAAATATATCATTTGCTCCCGATTATTAAATTTAAAAAATCAATTACATTTGTAAAATCACATGTGTTTTATGAAATTATATTATATTATAGTTATTTTCTTTTTGTTTCAATTCATTTGAATTAAATTTTGGGCATTATCTTTTTATAATATTATCGCAATTCAATACTCTCAATTTAATTAATTTTATCATGTAACGATTATTTTTATAAATAATATAAATAAGTTCATATGCATTAATATTGCGTACACGAGAGTAATAATATTTAAATGATTCCACACAGTTCAATTCTTTTTTTAGTACGCAATATTTATTAACGTATTTTCATTATGTCATGTATATTTATACAATATTTATATCATTTTTTGTACTAACATTTTTATAATATATATCATATTCGAATTAAATATTCCTTTTAATATTTTCATTAAATGAGCCTGATGTGCATACTGTGTTGCGCGCAGGGGAAAAAATATCAGATCACGCATTCTATGTCGCGCCAATCGATTCGAAAAGAGCAACCGACTGTATTCGGGCAATTTTCCGGGCGTTCACAGCGCGAAAACCGCCGGGCGTGCACGTCACAAAGCGCAAAATGTATAGAGCGTGCGCTGTCATGGAACGATACTGACGAAATAAGCGGACAGGTGCGGACGACTGGCCGATAACCCGATGACCCAGATACCTTCGATGATATTGATTAGGCCATTGAATGTCTGTGCAACCGCAAACGTCAAACGCGTCAGCACCTCGTACATCTTCCCCTCCGATCCTCCCCGGCCCCGACTTGACCGTCGTCCGACCCTTTGTCCTTCGCTCTCTCTACCATTACTTGATCTTGTATCCTTCGCACTTACCCGATTTCGCTTACCTGCCACACGCGATGTTCTTTCCCGTTACCTTCCACGACGAAATTGGATTTATGGCTTTATTTTCCTCCTTTGTGGACAACATTTATCGGCAGATTGCACGCCGAAAAAGCGCTGCTCCGTTATTACGACGAAATAATGGAGTCCATAGTCCCCTTCGTGTCGTAAACGAGAAACCTTAACACATATATACGATATTTTATAATAGATATTTTGATATTTTCTGCAAAAAAAGCTTGTGTTTTTGAAGATTAAAATTTAAAATGATCTCTATTAAAATATAGATGTTACATATTGGTAATTATTAAAGGATTGTTAAGTAGAACCTACTTTAAAAATCAATTAAAAAATGATTATATATATATTTCTTAAAAAATGATTATATATATATTTCTTTCTCTCTCGTTCCCTATTTACATACTTGCAAAGAGCAAAGACAAGTTTGTAAACAAGGTTGCAGAACGCAAAATCTATAATATTTCGACATTTTTTTAAAAAATCGTTACAATTTTGCGACAAGAATTATTTCGCGCGTTAAATGCGCCATGTTTATAATTATACGTACCACCACTGATGCGTCACACATATATTTCGTTTTTGCTCCTCTTTCGTCGCTCACTCCGATTGTACGCGATACATATTTCATTTCACGCACGTAACGCGATCGAGAGTGACGAGAATAGACACACTAAACAATTAAATAAACGGTAATTTACCTCTAATGTTCCGTGCCGTTCGACGTATCTGCGTACATGTAACAGCCGCCGCGACCGATTCATCCGAACTGAGGCGGAAAAACCCGAACGTGTCCGACGTCATGACGATGACGCATAGCGGCAAGGTCAGATCGCTACGCGCGCTCTTTCTTTACCTGTTGCGTTTGACAACACGCGCGTGTGTACAATTGTTCGGTTTGCTCCGAGAAACGGCAAAAGTGACAATTTAACGCGAGCTATTACGCATTGTTTGCAGAAGTGTTTCAAGAGTGTCGAGAGTATATTTCGAGAGTGTATTTCGGTGTTTAAAGTATGCGAAGTGGTTATTTTACGTATGCGTAATTATCGCTCGTGCATAATATAACCTAAAATTCAACCTAGAGAGTGAAGTTGACGCCGGCGCGGAAAATATTTATAATTACGAAGTGTGGCGGTACTGATTGCATAGTCGTCGTTAAACTGATATTATTATCGTCGTTAAATCGTCTTTTCGTTGAGTACTTTCAGAATAGAAATTATCTAACGTGCGTACGTCTAAATATCTAAATAAGGCTTGATTAAGGTTAATGTTTTCTGTTAAGATTAGATCCTTATAACAGTTAAATCTTTAAAAATTGATGAATGACAATTTTTGCGTCTGTTTTCATGATGCACATTTTATAAGAATGAATAGTTATTAGGATGCTTTTGTGATTAAAAGCTTTAATTATTTTGCATATTTATTTGATCTTATTATTTTTGACAGTGGATAATTATGCACATAAATTATGCACATTGTTATTTACTATGATAAATGTGCATAAAAATTATCAACAGTTTGGAACATAAATACGCCATATTGAAGATTTTGGAATATTTATTATTTAAATATGGCAGATTATCTTTCTGCTGAGCTTACAGCCACTTGCGCTGTACTTGGATACTTTGATGGAACTGATTACCATTTAGATAAAAATTGCTTAGGTAAAAATATTTAATTTATACATATATATGTTTAAAGGATTACAATTGAGAAAAATAATTAATTAAATATAATTAATTTATTGATAGATGTAATAAAAGATCTTATCAGATATCTCAGGAGAGATGATGATACGCATACTATAAGACGCTTTCTTGGTCAAACAAAATTACTTCAAACAGATCTTGTAAAGATTCTTATACATCATGTTAAATATACTGAACTTTGGGATGTTTTATTACGGTATGTAGTATTAATTATTAGCTGAGAAACATTGTGTATGAAAAAAATTATTCAACATTTCTTTTAAAATTTATTGTTTTTTTCCACGTAACAGATTACTTATTAATTTAACAAGTTCTGCATTTGTAATTTATAATGAGCAGATACCAACCGAGAAAACAACATATAGTTTGTATCAACAAATAAATTTACATTTACAAGATTATAAGGCAGCATTAACCGATGACAATGTATGGTTAACAGTAGCTGGGCGATTGGGAGGATTACTTAAGATTGTAAGTGGTAAAAATCTTTATGTTGTCTAATCAGTGCATATGTGTATGTATTGATATATATATATATATATATATATATATATATATATAGCGTATGTTATCTTATAGAGAATGTGTGTTATCCTATAGAATAATTTTTACTTTATAGGATAGTACAGAAAGGGAAGAGGAAAATGAATTAACAATTGAAAGAATACTTATTTTTATTAGAAATGTATTGCAAGTGCCACCTAATGATAATGATAAAAGAGGTGATAATGATGCTACTATTCATGATGAGGTGCGAATTGCTATATTAAAATAAATTTTTTACATATTTTGAAACATATAGTATATTGAATATTATTTTATGTTACAAAGAATTTTTCTTTTTAGATATTGTTTGCGTTTCATGCGTCAGGAATAGTGGATATACTGTTGTTTATTGTCAGTAATAATAAAGAACAGCAATATCACATGCAAATTTTAGAGGTATATAAAAATATATATCACATTTTATTTTCTTTTTATTTTTATATTTGAGAATAATTATGGAAATAATACTGTGTGTTATTTATAACAATTTAATATTTGAGAATAAAAAACGATATTATTTTCATATATATTTTTTTAGATTATATCTTTGATGTTACGTGAGCAAAATGCAAGCCAATTGGCTGCATCTGGTTTACAACGCAATACTGCCGAAAAAGAAAACGATGAGGCTAAACTTGTAGCCTTACGCAAAAAGGAATTGCACGAAAAGATGGACAAAGTAAAAAAATATGCCGGATCTAGGTGAGTTTATACCATACATTAAATAATTATTACGTTATTTGATTAATAAAGTTATATTAATAAAATAATAAGAAATAATAAGAAAATAATAAGAAATATTAATAAAAAATAATGAGATTATGAGAGAGAGAGAGAGAGAGAGAGAGAGATCTGTTGTGCAAGTTAAAAAGGAAAGAACCATTGTATATCTAAATTAAATATTTTTAAATTTGTAAGAAATTAAAAATATCTAGGGTATAAAACGGAGGGCGAAGGCATTTTTCTAAATAATATAATTGTTTAAAATAAATGCACAAGAAAAGGAAATATAAAATTTACTTGAATAATTGAAAAGATTTATCCTGATTGAATTGCTTTCAAAATTTAAAACAACTCTTTAAACATGCACTCTGTTCATGGATATTTTATTCGATATCAGTGCACGCGGAAAATGCTGTATAGAGTAAGAGCTTCATTTATACAGATTTATTTATACGTTAGCTATGTTATTCAGTTTTATGAAACACGGGAATTGTACGGAAATGTATGTTTCGCAAATAGCTACCACATAATTATCCTTTTAATGAGCGACTACAGCTAAAAGCACGCGATCGGAAAAATAGAATGACTAAAAAGCACCGATTGCTACTTGACGAACGCCTTTGCGGATTTTCGTGACGACGCGGCGATGCGATACGCGTATAATGAATATGACCTAGTTTTTAAAACAGGACTACCCGAAGCATGAATAGAAGCTTTTATCCACTTGTTGGAGAGAAGCGAGCCATATTCTTGTAACGAGCGCGCGTTCCAGAAGCCCGTGGATGCGCGCATCTCTCCCGTCTTTGCGAAAGGCTTTTTACGAGTTGAAAGGGACTGGAAGTCTCGATGAAAAGATCCCTTCGCCTTCCTCATGTTTTCTATCGATCGATGGAAAGATAATTTGATCGGAAAACGATAAAGCAGCGCCTAGCTGTGTCACGAACACAGATCTCCTTTTGATAGCAACAAGTAAATATAGTAACGAAATTGGATGGCTGTGTCATATACGCATTTATCGTAATACAATAATATATTGTATATATATATATATATATAATTTTAGCTTTTAAATTATTTTCTACATTATATTTTTTTTATATAAAATTTTTATTTTATTTATGATGATAAAATAAAATATTTATTTTATTTAAAATATTATTAAAATATTTATTTTATTATATATTTCAGATAATTATTATATATTTCTAATTTATGAGAAATTATTTTTATAAAAAATATTTTATTTGAAAAAATTGTTTTCGAAATTACAACTTTACAACATTACTTTTCTAAATAGAAATTAAAGAATTTAATTAATAGAAATTATAAATTATCATTTTAATTTTTTTTATAATGAAAAGTGCTCGTCTTCAGCAAACTTTTCGGAAAGTTAACTGCTTGTTTAAAAATATTTGAAGGAAAATGATGGATCAAGAAACTTGATTCCATCACTTTTCTTCAAATATTTTTAAGCAAAAAAAGATCAGAAAAAATGGAAGGGAGTGTGCATCTTCGTCATTTAGAAAACTGTCTGTTCTTGACAGCTGCCTTTTATTCCATTGATTGGATTTTCGGGAGTCATGGTTGAAATTGAATTTGAATGATCTGCTCCTTTTTGTAGTAGCCATTAGAGGGAACGTATTATTTTTCCTTTTCAACTTGTGCATAAAACCGAATGAGAAAGAGACGCGAAATCGAAACAAAATTTAATTTTTCATATTATAGACTTGTCCGATATTTTGTATATTCTAAGATATATATTTGCATTTTTTTTTAAATAATTTTGTTTGAAGAATAGATTTAATGTCTGAAAGTATATTTTTATTCAATTAATTAGACATTCACGATTTGGCGGTACTTACATTGTCCAAAATATGAAAGCAACTGGAGAAAATCAAATGATATGTCATAGACCGTATAAAAAAATCGAAACTCTGGAATTTGGTCATAATAAGGTAAATTTACAAAATCGATTAGTAATGCATGATTTTTCTTTATCTTGTTATGATTTTCGAAAGCAACTAAAATTTCAAAATAGTCTTAATTTTATATGAATTATATGAAGTGAAATTAGTAAATAAATAATTAAAAAAAGCATACGTATCTTCTATAACAGAAAAGAGTGAAACGACGCAAAGATAAAATGAGGGTACAGGACGCTAAAGTGGAACGTACATCTGTCCTCAGTGTACGACTTTTTCTAAAAGAATTTTGCGTGGAATTTCTTAGTGCAGCATACAATCCCGTAATGAAATTCGCCAGATCTTGTATCATTAATGTTACTCATGGTGAAGCATCCGAAATAACTTCTTATTTATGGGCTTTGCGTTTTTTTATGGAATTCAATCGCCATTACAAGTTTGAAGTGAAATACGTGAGGTAAATCTTGGCACTTTTTAACTTTCCTATAACAAAATTTACATTGTTGTCGAGTACATATTCCACTAAAAGACAGAAAACGAGACAGTTTCCGAACTCGTTTTACGCATCGTCGCTTTCTTTTGGATCTTGTCTAAAAGAGGTCTAAAGAATTTTTCTAACGTATACGAGATAAATCTAATTTTATAGTATGAAATAATATTTACAATAATTTTTAATGAAAATTATTAAATTGTCAATAAAGTTTTACAGAATATTGTTTCAATGTCGATGGCATATAAACATTTAATTATTTTTTCTTTTGTACTAAAATATATAAATTCTGTGATTTTATTTAGTCGAATTTTATTTACGATTCATTATTTGTAGAGCATCTAGCACCAACGTGTACAAAAAATATATATATATGTATTTCGATTAAATTTTAGTGATAGATTGTGAGATTTATATTGATATTTTTATAATCATAAGCATATAGAAAAGATTGTTTCAATTATATATATATATATATATATATATATATATATATATATTTGTTTTATTAATTTTATAAGTTTAAACTCTATTTTATATTATTAATAAAAATAATTATCTGTCGCAGTTTATTATTTTATTTTATTATTTATTGATCCATTAATTTATTAATTTATTATTTTTATTAGCGAAACGATATCTACAGAAGTATTTTATTTAGTACAAAGACAAATGGAACACTACTATGAGATGATGATAACTGATAAGAAAAAGATACCGCTTTGGTCTCGCAGATTGCATTTAGCATTGAAAGCATATCAGGTAGGAATTTGTACACAGATAATCAACATTGCATACGGTATATTTAGAAAAGTTGGTGAAAATATGTATCACATTTTAGGAGCTTCTTAATACTCTTATGGCAATGGATAAGAGCATAGATCGCGGTGTCAAAGAATCCAGCAAAATAATTAAAAACAACATCTTTTATGTTCCGGAATATCGGGAAACGATACTCTCTCAGTTTTTGTGTTTCGATGAGACTAAAATGTCACGGTAAGTGAATAAGCACATAAAAAATGAACAAAATCTCATGCAGAAAATTTTGCAAGAAAGAATAATTTAAAAAATTATCTTAAAAGCAGAAAAAAACAAGACTTAAATTATATCTCATTATAACTTTTATAATCGGTAACTATTCCTATTTAATTCGATAGAATAAACCGCGAATCTGTCGTGAATTTTCAGCAAATCGTAATAAAAATAATGCAAGTATCGCGAAAAGTTACGCGATGCGTCACCGAACAATCGCATCTATACCGGACGAATCCGCGTCGCGTCTTGTGGAGAGAGAAAGAACTCTTTACCAAAAGTTTTATCTACCGCAGACAGATTGATTCACTTTCGGATCAATCGGTTCGACCAGCTAGGAAGCTACTCGGGCTGCCTCCGACGCCATTTCGACTATTTCTCTTCTTCGGCTGGGTCTCTTCGCTAGCTTCTCGTACACACCCGCCCCGTTTCTTCCTCCCTTCTGCGCGATTCCTTGGCGGAATAAACAACTTTTATCGACCTTCCGGCCGGCGAAATGGGAAAAGGCGGTGGGCGTTCAACTTGCTACGAGTTTGACGGGTTTTGCGCGGATTTCCACGACGGAAATGTAAGGGCGGCGCGACGTACCGCAATGCCACGTTGCTGCTACTTTGACGTTATACGGCAATGCTGACGAAAACAGGACGACGTCAAACTTTGGTTTTCATAGTAGTAACGTTACCGGAACTAAATTGACAAATTAATGCGCGGGTAACGAGATTAAATTAATTTCTTGTCACAAGGAAAGAGAAGACGGTTTAAGTTTATCGTTATTCTTATAATACATATATATTTATATACATATAATTATACACATACATAGAATTATTTATATAAATATGTGCATTATATTTTTAGGCAATACTTAGTGGATCTTGTCACGACTGTTCATATATTTTTGAAAATGCTCGAACATTTTTGCCAGAAAGGTCAACGACACCTCATGGTTCAACAAACAAAGCCAAAGCGAAAAAAAGCTAAAAGACAAAAAAGTAAGATTTATTTATATAGTGATCGTTGAAAAATGTTTAGAAAAATATAAGTTAAATTTGATAGTGAAAAAATTGTTTAAGCAGAACCTGCTCATCAGAGGATTGTAACTCCGGTTCCTACTTTGGAAGAACGTTGGGACATTATTAGTTCTGAATTATCTGCTGTAATGCAAGATGGTATCATACCAGAAGTGGTGCCATTTGATGCAACCTTAGATATGCCTATTGACGATCAGAAGTACGTAGATTTATATGATAGATATAACTGAAATAATTTATGTTACTCTCAATTATTACGTTATTATTGATATTTTTAAAGTGCAATTGAAACTATGCGTCTATGTTTTATGTTTTTCTTATTTAGTTTTATTTATTTTTATTTATTTTTATTTATTCTTATATTTTTCTTATTTAGATCAGATGCTATGAAGAAAATACAGAAATTAATGCGACAGAGCAACTTGGAACAGGCGCTTGGTCTCTTACGTACTGCAAGGTAACATATTTATTTGTTTTAAAAAACCGGATGCTGAAAAGTAATTCGTTTCATGAAACTTTTTATGCCGAAGTGACAATGTCGCTTATTGTTATTTATTTTGAAAGTCAATTTTACATCTAAACCGTCAACAGGGAATGCAACGAAATTCTAACAAACAATTTTAATTTTCTTACTGCTTTATTGGAATAAAATATACGAGAAATTATTTAAACTATACGAAAAATTACATGTAATTTTCAGTCTATACTACATTAAATTTAATACACCGCGTTAAATACATTTTTATGAAAATTTTATTGGTTCTGTCGCGATAAAAAATTCGCTTTTATATAGGGTGCTTTTGTACAGTGTACTTATGTTTCCATATTTTATTTTTTATTTTTAATTTATTAATTTTTAATTCATATTAATATTTTAGATTAATATGAAGGGACCTTTATTTTGTTCCTTTTTTTTCATATATTTTGTTGCGATTTTTATAGCGAAATATAATAAATTTTCCAACGATACAAAAGATAATCTCAAGGTAATATTAATTATGGAAGTTTTGAGAACTTTATTTTAAAAAAATGTTTATTACGTTAGGACTGGACAGTCAGTAAGAACTGGAATTTATTCATAAACTCGAATGTTTACTTGGAACTAAAGAAGATACAATATACATAAAATATATAATTTTACGAGATAATAATACAGTTTTTAATCATATAACAATTATAATTTGACATTCTCTTACGTATATTGTATGATATAAAATAAGTTTCGCAATTGGATTACTTCTGCTTAAGAGAAATTAATGGCGACTTTAAAAACTTTGACAAAGAAATTCTTAATGAAAAACTTTGTATAATTATCTCGCAACTCTTATGGAGATTATATTTTATTACAATTCTGTTAATATAATACATATTAATTATACTTATCGATCTGTTGGAATTTTTTTCGGTTTTGTGCACCGACCAGTCATACGGCCAATTAACTGGCGAAAAGCCAGGCGTTTGCACTGCGGCGGATATTTACATTACATTAAATCTGAAAGGGATCTGCCGCGCTCTCTTGTAACGCGCGTCGGTATACACCGGTTCACCGAGGTGAACGGGTACCCAACCAACTCTTTGAAGTGTTCCACCTCTAAATGTGCCTATGAGTCATGTCCCTCCGTCAACTTGTTTCTGCGTTCCACCTCGTCAAACCTTCTCGCTCTAAGGCTTAATCGCCGCTTCCGCGAGATTCGATACACCCTCGTTGATAAACTCGTCGACGTGTAAATAGATTTCTCTTTACGTCTCTTCATCTCAAAGCTTTTTCGCAAAGCTCTATGCTAAACGCAGATTCGCGCAACCATCGCGAACATTTCGAGCTCTATTTTTTTTTAATAAAAAATATTTGCAAATATTTGCAAATACCATTGAAGAATAACGTTCACAATGTGAAACGAGAGCTTGCCAAACTTTAACTACTGACCTTTCTCAAAATAATATATAGTTGCATTATAAAATATAATTTCAACTGAAAATATATGATACGTAATGTTATAAATCTTTAATTTTATTAGTTCTGTCAGATTAGAGTACCATATAACCGTGGAAGTAGAAGCGGTTTTTATCGTCGCTGCCTTCTTCTATCATAAAGCTATGAAATTATAGTCCTTCCCGTGATTTTTCTTTACGCGGTATCGTCGTTGCGAACTACTTTGGGAGATTGTACGTAATATTCTATCGTCCATTTTATAGTGGGGAGTAATGTTTACTATGGCCGGTACACAATGGGAGTCTGCAGGATCATGCCGACCTTGTGCACACAAGGGGATAAAAGTAGCAGACTGTTGACTACGTCATATATAGACTATGTCTGGGCCTAGACAATATTATTAATAAGACACTTATGGCAGTACGTAGGTACGTAAGGCAAACAGTCTAATATCTCCTATCCTTTTCGCGTACACGTCTTGGTTTCGCGATTACGAATAGTGCTTCTGGTAATCGTGTTTCGTTTGCCTAGCAAATATTCCGTCGTCTGGCTACTGATTTTGAACCTCCTAATTTTCCACTTGCACTGTTTACATTGCATCCTTTTACAGTGATTTTAATCTTTAAAAATCGCATAATTAAAAAAGAATACAGAGAATGATTTTGACGAGACGAATTGTATCGATTTAGCATTTCTTTCTTTTTGTTCCTTATGTGAATAAGTACTGCAGTAATTATTTTATCGATCATCAAAAGAAATCGTTAGCTTTCTTTTGTTTTTCTATTTACTTTGAAACATTGATTCGCAATTAATGTGCAGAAACAGATTCTTAGATTTATTCGCAGGAATATTGAAAATATATAGATTGTTTCTAAGATGACATTACATTCTTTGAAGACCTTTTCCGCGACAATTTAATATTAAAAATCACGAAGAGTGAAGCTGATTTATTACTTTGCCAAGCATAAGAATGAACGTGTCGAAATTATCCATTTCGTGTCTGGCAAAGCGGTATCGGCTTGTATGTCGGAACGTTCGAGTCGAGAGATGACGACGACGACGACGACGACGGCGACAACGACGACGACGACGACGACGACGACGACGACGACGACGACGACGACGACGACGACGACGACGACGATGACGACGACGACGGGCACAGCGCGTCTGAGAGATTCCATTGTCACGGAACTTCAAATCGGGGGATAATGGGAATTGTATGCTGCTGAATTTCTATTCAGGCAGCCAGCAGCCGCGCCATACGAGCCACTTCTTCCGCTCGGAGGACAGCACCCTTCCTCTTCTTTTGCGTTTTCACCCTCGCGTTTGCTTATTGGATTCATCTCTAGCGGGGAAATTTTCGGAAAGCTTTCGAAGGTGGATTAGACTTCCTTGACCCGCAATTCTGAAATGTCGTATATGGCATTAACTAACTATAAAATGATAAAATCACATTTCTTATTGTTAGATAGAATCTCGAATTAAAAGTAATTGAATGAACATTTTTTATAAATCGAGCTTTGATTCATAAGTCGATAAATTATCGAGAAATTATTCATTCAATTTAAATAAACGTTACTTGAATAAAATTTTCATTCCAGTCCGATTTTAAGTTTCATTTAATTTGATATATTTGAAAGTATTATGATAAGTCAAATGACTTTGATCAACATTCTTTCAATCTAACGATTTTTGTCTTAGATTAAAAGAAGAAATTCCTTTCTAATGGAGAAAAAAATTCGTTTTATATACGGCAGTTACGATTCATTCGATGTGTGGATTACCTCTCTGCTCGTGTATAAACGAGAAGGGATCATGTCCGGGACTTGAATCCGATCGGAATCGTATATTGTAAAACGTACGAATGTGTGTCGTGTCTATACGCATAAAACGAAACACATTGTTCATATACATGTGTCTGCGTTAGAATCGTCCGTACGTTTCGCTTTTATATGGTAGAATTGCAACTAAGTGCGATTTCGTGTCAAGTGACCAAATCCAATTCTCGGATTTTAATGCGATTCTGGCGCTATTAGGATGACAGAAAATAGAAATGATTTTCATTACCAATCGTGCAGCGACAATAGAATAAAATAGAAAAGATTTTTATTGTCACTTTTTTACTATTGAAAGATTATAATTATATCATAGAAGTATAGAAAAATTTTTCATGTAATATAATTTTTATGTATTTTCTCTCGCAATTCTTTGGTTTTTGTATGTTCCAAATTATATATTTTCAATTATAAAATTTACATTTTTCTATTTTATGATAGTTTTTTGTAATTGCAAATTTAGAGAGAAGTAAAAGTTATTTTTATAAAAGATAACATTTTATATAACAGAGATAAACAGAAAATTTTATATATATATATGTGTGTGTGTGTATGTATACACAATATAATATTTATTTCAAAAATGAATTTAAAATTAGATGACAATGTAAATTTTTTCTTTTCCTGGAAATGTATATAATTAGAAAATGAATAGATTTTTTTTAGTGAAAATCTAAAGAAAATAAAGTGATATTTGAAAGCTATTTCGCCATGTAATACAAGGTTAAAAGTGTTTCATCATTAGTTATATTCTTTTTCGGAATGTTTCTGCAGACGTGACTTCACCCTTGTCCTTTAGTCACGTTCGCGCATGAGCAGCTGTTTCCTTTTTTCTAAGTTCCTCTAAAGCATACAAGCTATGTTGGACTTGTTAAACCAAGTTTTCCTATTTATCTTAGATGCAACTTTTTTGTAACAAAAATATTAAAAAATCAAAAATTTATGAGCGATAAAAAAATAATTACTTAGAAAAAATTAAATAAAGAATTATAAAAAATTTTAACAAATTGTAATTACAATAAAATTAATTTTTCTTGTATTGAAATATGTAATTCATACGATTTTCAAGTATTTTAACTTAATGAGAATTTGATAAAATTTTTTTTTTCAAACTATTATGTTAAATTTTTGCTTCAAATGTATGAAGTGAATTTAAATAGATTGAAGCTGCTTTCATCTTTGAAAATTTTACTGCCCTCACACTTGCTCTTTCCTTTGTGCGATATTGGCGATAGTACTTTTCGCATTGTGACCCTAAGATGTAAAGAGGATGCATGTGTGTCGGCATCAATGATAGACTAGCGTAGGTCAACTAAGGGTGGACGAAGAATGAAGGTGAGCTGTGAGTACTTGACGCAAGTAGCTCGATGTTGATGTAGATCGTGGTGAGATTTTCATGCTCAAAGGAACCTTCTACGAGACTCGTTGAGTTTGTCACTCGAATTTCTCATCGCGTCGTTTTTCAGCGATACTTGAACGAATTTCTAATCTAATCATGTCCAATTCTTTTCTAATCGTGTGACTCGAAATAATGAACTTGTTTTATTTAATTACATCGATCTTATTTTCTTACAGTTGACGAATCAATTATTATTCTCGTATGATATTATATATGATTTATATTAGATGATATATATGATTTATATTATGATATTTATATTATTTATATTAGAAATTTATTAAATGATTTTTTTGAAATGCATTTTGGAAAGAATAATGTTATACATTGCAATTCTTAAAAATTTTTACAAGAAGGGAAAGAATTTTGCCTAATTTTATCAGCGTTAGAATTTGCAATTTTATTTTCTAAACATTATTTTTTGTTTTAGTCGTGACAATAGTTCTTTCTGAAATGCGATATAGTTAATATTTGATTCATAAAATGCACATAAAATACAAGTTATAAATAATATAATATTCAATATATGATATCATATAATTCGAAACTTTATGAAACATGAAAGTTTTGCAATTTTACTGTGAATTATGTTAACGCTACGATATGTTATATTGCTGTATATTATAGTGTAATGTATATTATGTATATTACAGTGCATTAAAAGCTGTTTCCTCTTAAGATCGTTTAACATCATGTTATTAAGCCGTTGTTTCGAATTTTTCGTTTTAACATTAATTCTATTATACATTAGCATTGTTGTCATTAGCATTGTTGTCATTATACATTAAAAATAAATATTTGAATCAAATTGTTATAGAGTAATCTGGCCCGAGAATGACTGCTTTGGAAGAACGGATATACCTCCCGAGGAAGAATTTCTAGCTCTTCGAGAAATTTTCTTTGCGGATCTGGGCGGTGAGTAATCTTCAAAATTTCTTTTTTGATTTCATATTTAGGATTTAAAAACGTTTGGCGCTTCTCTCTCAGTGCCGTTTTTATAATACAATTATTTTAATAAAATCCGTGATAGTAAGCGGAAAACGAAACATCATATATTGACAATCTCCGATAACTCGTCTGAAATAAAGTTAAAACTTGGTCCTTTCAAAGTATAGGTCATTAACATTTTTTACTTTCTTGAGAATTGCCAGTGCAACTTCTATCACGAGAAACTTATATCCTCTTTGCATACGTAACCCTGTGAGAAAAGAGTAGTTCCTGTTTTGCGTCCGCCTAATTATAAAGAGCAAAGTCTGTTATTAGGTTAAAGCACGAAAGTAATGAGCTGTTTTCCTTCCTTTACGGAGAAGAGTTCGTTACGTCTGCTAATTTATTGAATTATGAAGTTTACTCAAAAACATTTGGAAGAAAAGTGAGCGCGCCGAATATACGCGAGATGTAATAACATCATGTATTTTATGTTAAGAAAGTATCAAAGGGGGAAAAGAAAGATATATAAATACATAAATTCATTCAAGGTGCTCTTCCCTTGCAGGGACGATTTGTAATAACTGGCGCGTATATCATGACGCAAATTTAATTAAACGCGCCGTTGGTATTCATTTCACGCGTCTAATTTATGTGTGAATAACTACGCTATTCAGTACCGAGATTTCGCGACGATCCGGGCCCGCCACGTATTTATCTCTGTTTATTACCAACACAATAATAGCTGCTGTAGACGTTTTAAATCCTTTAATTTTGTTGTTATGCTACTACAAATAAAAGCGGTTTATTTTAATGAAAAAAATTATTGTGTTGTGTTTGTGTGCATGTGTGTATGTGTCTTTTTTAAATTAAATTATTTAAATAAATTAATTTAAATTTCTTCTTTATCATTATATGTAAAATTTGAACCATTTTATTTTATAAAAGCCATTTTTGTGTATTATTGAACATTATTGAACATACAGGTTGAGATAAAGCACACACACACACACACACACAAATTAGATTCTTTTTCATAATGAAAGCTTTTTGGCAAAAAAACAATTTAAGTTTATTATATTATATTTTATTATTTTATTTTATTTTATATGTATTTTTTTAATATGTATTTTTTAACAAAATTTAGAGACGTCTCTTTTTCTCTCTATTTATTATGAATATATTATAGTAATGTCTCATTATACGGTTGTCGATCACGCATTCAATTTCTTTTTGTCGCATTTCACAATATATGGATTAAAATTCACATTACATACACTGAATTTCACAGCTTATAACATTATGATTATAGCTGTCATGTACATCTCGTTATATATATATACATATATATAGATGTGACAGCAGGCTGTCATTCATGTGTAGGCGTCATGCATTATTTACTCAGAGAATATTTATATAAAATATTTCTCTCACACTCAGTTCTAAAATATATATCTGTTTTATTTCACGATGTAAATAGTTTGAGATCTATTATCTCCACTATCATAATTTTACCCGTAATCCTTACGTCATCTGAAACATTTATTTTTTTCCTAGACAAAAGATTCTCAAAAATTCTTTTTTTATGCACTTTTAAATTCACTTTAGTTGATTGACTTGTGAAATTTGGAAATTATTTATATAAATATTTGATGATAACAAAAATTTGGTATCTATATGTATGGTAATTATTTTCAAAACTAAACACGCTAAAAATATCAATTTTATCAAGAAATTCATAAAGATGTAGATTGCTAAGATCTTCGAAATGCTCTATATTTAATTATTTTTATAAAAAAGTATCTTTATTATATATATGTAGTAGATAATGATAATTTTCATCTATTATTATAAACACGATAACAAATAATTTCAAGATGCTAATGAAAGGAATCATTTATATAGATGCATTTAAATATTTTAGTGTCTATATGGCGCAATATGTGTACAGATTTTGTCGGAGGGAAACGGAATCATAGTCGATCCGAAGTGCACATTGGCTTCATCGATTGGAGTTTGTTTTTTCGTTTCAGTTGCTTCCGCACACACTTTACGCGTCTGGATGGCTATACTTGCTCGATCGTATCCTGATAGTTTTGCATAAACTATATATAATAGAGTATCTGTTTCGCGTTGATAAAGCACATTGCGGAAATGGTGAGTGTGCTTTGCGAAACAAGCTTTTCCTAGCTAATACTACGTTTACATCGAGAAATATGAAAATTATTAAAATATGTTTAATATATACTGAGAAAAAAGTTGTTAATTTGACTAAACCATTTAACTAAATTATTATTTTTTTAATTGAATTATTTAACTATTTAAATTAAATAATACATATTAAATCTAGCATGACATCTATTTAATTTAAATATTTAAATATTTTAATTAATTAAAAATTAATTTAATTAATTAAAAAAATAATAATTTAGTTAAATGATTTGGTCAAGTTAACAACTTTTTTTTCTCAGTGTACTTACATACACAATATACGCATAAATATTTATATATCATTATTACAACTTTTTGGTTTCATAATTGAAATCGAATGTAAAAAAATCTTATGAACAATCTCTTTCTATGAAAATTAATTTTTTGCTTTTAAATCCTGCTCGATATTAGATTGAAATAACGATGGCAATCTTGCTTATAATATCATATTTTGAGTCAACAACTTGGACAATTAAATATTCTTCGAATAAACTGCTTCTCTTAAACTTGTTAAAGATTTCTGTAGAAAATAACTTCGACGACTTCGTCAGACAGGTCAGATCGCGAGAACAAACGATTATTTGTCATCCGTGACAAGGATACTTCATCAACAGCATTTATAAATAATCGCGATCGATATTGAGGAGGTTGCCTAGCATACCGAAAGGTTTTACTTATTCATGTCTGTCTGCGAGTAGAATGGTACTGTACAGCCATGTATAAAGTATACGTTTCATCGACTTACTCGGACTGAAGTATGAGAATAGGATGTAGAGGAAGATGTGCGCTTGGGCGCGATTTTTCTCTTCTCCTCGCTCGATTCCAACTTGTTAGACCGAATGGGTGATGGATGCTCGCGTAGAGTCAGCCCATGTGTTCTTTTCTCCTCTAAGTCGAAGGTTTGATGAATGAAGGTCGAATTGAAAAGTCTTGGAACGGTGAAGCGCAGTGACGAAATTTGCATGCCAAGATCGTACGAGCGATTTTTCCTTTACGTTTATTCCATTTGTACATGTTTAACTAATGCATTTTAACATCAAACTTTTCTTCTCCTTATATTTATTCATATCTATGATTCTTCTATTATTTCAATAAAAATAAAATTAATTTTTACTATAAAAAGTATATATTAAATTTTAACATAAAAATTATTTCATTTATATTTCAGGAGAATATTTTATTACAAGAATGTAGCGCTGATACGTTCATATGATTTCTTAAATTTTGCAAATACGAAGTTTTTTCACCGTTCCTCGTCATTGAATTTGTACTACTATAATAATTTTGCTTATTTACGTAATACGGAAGAAAGTCATCTCTAATATTTCCTGGAAATGTACCGTGTATCTAAAATACGTAGATTGGCGGCGCCGGATTTTGACTATATGTCGAGGAAGTAGAGAAGTAGCTTCGAGAGGTATGAAAGAACTTTTATCGGGGTGAAAACTTCGTCTTCCTTGCGAGCGGTGTGAAACCATAGGAACGAACGAGAATTATTTAGTACAAGACGCAGGGTAAACAACAGATCTACTACCAACATTTGTTCCGAGTTTTATTCCTTTTTTTGCGCTTCTCTCTGAAACGACCTCCGACTATCTCTCCTCTTAGCAGAAATGTTATCGGAAAATGTGCATTATTTGCAATCAGCTTACACTTTGCGCTGCTTATCGATTGGAATTGAAGTTAATGCGTAATAACGGATTGACATTTAAGGTGCAAATCCTACAAACTTATATATCTGAATCCTTTACAGAGGCACTAAATTCAATTGACTACATATTTTTTTTCGCATTATATTTTCGCATTGTGGCATTATTCTTTTTATTTCACCGGGCAACGTAGGTGAACAATAATCAGATTGAATCGACGTTCCGGGGGATTTGAAGCAAAGCGAGAGCTGATATTTACATCCTACGTTTACTCGAGCGATCGCTACCATATGTTTGCATTCTCGTAATGTCCTTCCTCTTTCCAGGACATCGGTCCGTGAGATAGTTCGGCCAAAATCGGTCCGCCACGTTCGCTTTTCTCCGATCAAATTGCGATGCATCGTGTTACCTCTTGCGATTTCGGAGTAAGCCAATGTCTTCTACCGTTGGATTTGCTGATTTTATATAAGATTTTTTTTTCTTTTATTTTTATATATTTCGTAAAATGTCGGTATTTTTAAAAGTACATCAATTTTCTTTCAAATCTGTAATTTCTCTCTTGGAAGAAAAGTCATTTGTGAAAAAAGTTTCTTTTATTATCTAGTGGTATATAATTTTATTTTATTATCCAGTAGTATATTTATCGAAATATTTTTAAAATTTGCCTTTTTGAAAATCTTCATGTTATAACAATGTTATGATTATATCATTATGTTAATTATTAATTAAATATTAAATCATTAATTACAATGGTTACTAATTTACTCACATCTGTTTGCTATTTTATGAATAGTATGGCATCTTCCAGAAAATAAATATTTTATACGAATTTAAAAATTCCTCAAACGACTTTCTTGTGAAGAGATATAAACGCTTGTACTCGAGTAACACCCAAGTATTGAGTGGAGCGTTCAGAGGGTGCTTCAGCTCGACATTTAACGGCGTTCCGGTATCGAGGAGACAACCGCGGCGCGTTAATGTTTCTTTTTTGTCATGTTCTCTTTCTCCTGCCAACGATATGATAGCCTCTTCCCTAACGACGCATAACCATTAATATGCAAAAGCGGTACTCAACGAGTTCATTCATTTCATCATGTTTTCCCCTATCGCTCGTTCTCCCTTTCCCTT